TTGGCTTTAAAAACACCAAACTTTTGAAAAGCACGGATTGGTCAGTAAAATGCACCCAGGTTCAGTGACTCAAACGCTGCTAGGAAACACTGCAATGCATCGCTTAAAATCACCAAGTTTCGAAGCACAAACTCTCATGGAGACCAAAAGACACCCAGTGTTGTTGTTTGTTGGTTCCAAGCAGTAGTCTGCAGCTTGGCAGGTGTCTCACCCAGGTGGCATGCCATCCTCCATCCCATCCGCCTCCTGATGACAAAGCCAGCTCATATATGATGTCACTTTAGGAATGTCGATATGATACGTATGAAACTTAATGTAATATATTTGTGGTTTGCAGGATCATACAATGCCAACATTTTCTTCTGACGAGTGGGCTGATGAAAATGTGATTTATACTGAACCATCGACTACAACCTCATTACTGTAGGTGCTTAAAAGTGTTAAAGTAAAAAAGTCTGTAAGTGTTATATAGGACCTAATATGGTGTGTCACATCCCTAAGTGTGTTATCTTTGTCCCTCATATTGTAATTGGGGTTATTATGGTAAATAAAATGTGATATATAAGACAGAGCTGGCTCTGTTGTAATAAAACTTGGAGGGATGAGCCATTTTAAGACTGTCGTAAAACATTTTCCTATTCCAGTAATTAGTTGATTCGTCTGATCAGTTGTGGACACTACAGCGTGTAAAATTTATTAACATAAAGACCTCCGTCTATACATGCCGAGGACAAAAGGATTTTTCAGTGATTAACTATGGCAGCATCATGTGCCTTCTTCTTCTTCAAACTTCAGGACGTGTTTCAAAACATTTTGTTGACTTTCTTTCTCATTTTTCATGATGCTCCATTTTTAACAGCACACGGGCAGACGGGACATGACAGCGTCTTCCTTCAAAGTGGAAGTCCTGTTGCCGTTTCATAAAAATATACATGCTTTCATATTTGACTAAGAATAGTAAGGTGACAACGTTGTTTAGGGCAGCGACAGAGAGTAATGGGCTGTCCCAGTAAGGGGGGAATAGATACTGTATAGGCCTGCATAGTTTCAAAGGCAGTGCCCGGGGGAATCACATGCCTCAGTCACCATATGCTCCATGCAGAGCAGCCCCACCTTCAAACTGAACAGGAGCCCAGAGAGAGGCAGACTAGTTCCAGAGACAGACAGTAATGATAACAATGCTGCACATCAAAACCCACCAGATTAACAAAAGATATCCATCCAACTGTAATTAAATGTGTACAGTCAGAGAAATCCTGCTGCTTTTGGTTGCAATCATCAGCTGCTGTCTTCTTTCATTGTTTATTATTGTTGACAGAGTCTCACGAGAACAAGAAAACAAATATATTTGTTGTGTAAGCCAAATCCATTATTAGTAGCGCCAAGACCTTTGGGTGATGTGGGAATTTTTGTGCCCATGTTTTTGACCTCATCGAGGACATTCCTGTCACTGTCAAATATATTTGATGTTTTCTGTCAGTGAGCTTCTAATGTCTAAGTTGTCATTAAATGTCGCGACAGAAGTTACAGTCAAAAAGGTGCGATGCCCTCTAACAAAGTGATTTTGCACATCAAGTTTTGACTTCTTGATACTCTAAACTTTAAAAGGATTAAAACTGGATTCAAAACTTCTTTTCAGCACTCTGATGCATAAACGTCGAAGTTTAAAATGATGGATGCCTTTCACTTGTATCCACAGAGGTTTTCTTGCATGTCAGCAGAACTCCTCAGCCAGGAATAAGCATTGAGAAATAAATCACATCAATCACATTTGGCAGAAACCTGCCGCTGCTTCTCTTTTCTCTCTGGTTTGATTCGTTTCAGTTTCAGGGCTCTTCTGGCCACAACCCCAGATAAGTGGAGTCACAGACACTCTGCCCCTTAGTTGACTCTTGGACTGTTAAACAGGGCTTTGGCAACTGCAAACTTTGTTGAATTAGTAACTGGAGCCAGAATCCATTGCTTGCGGGCCAAGAGAAGTAGAACAACGATCCGTAAATTCTGGTCTGGAGGTGCCACACATTGCAACCCATGTTAAGTGAACCTCTAGAGCTCAAAGAACGCTGCAAACAACGCAAGCCTTGAATTGCTGCCGTGTAACAAGGAGAAAACTTGCTTGTACAACCCAGAGCTGTGCACGTTATATACCATTTCAGCATGGGCAGACTATGATACAATGGGCCCCTGGGCACAGACATGTAAAAGGCCCCACCATCTCTCCTACATAGGACTGGAAGTACACTTAGACTTTGTGGTGATTTTGTTTCTTCTTTTTTGTTGTAGTCATTTTGTGTCTGTTCAAGTCATTTTGTGTCTCCTTTTGGTTGTTTTGTCCCTTCTCTTTGTGTGTTCTTGTTTTTTAGGTTATCTGGGGGGTTTTATGGTAATTTTGCTTCTCTTAGTTATCTTGTGTCTCTTTTTGTTTTTTGTGCCTTTTTTGGTTGTATTTTGTCTCTTTGTAAACTCAAACTCAAATTTATTTATATAGCACATTTAAAAACAACCCCAGTTGACCAAAGTGCTGAACAGGCTATGCAATATAAATATAATCAGTAATTAATAAAAAAAAAACAACATATGCCTATTAAAATAAACAATACAACATCATACAGTAAACAATAAAAAGATCATAAGAACAAGATGTCATGTTTAACGAGTGCCAAAGGCCAGAGAGAAGAAATGTGTTCTCAAAAGGGATTTAAAATGCTCCAGAGTTTGGGCAGCTCTTATATGTAAAGGTAGGCTGTTCCACAGGTTAGGACCTGCCACTGCCACTGCTGACTGTTTGTTAAATGATAGGTAGATCTGTAGATCATCCACAAAACAATGAAAGGAGATGTTGTAATTTTTAAAAATGGACCCCAAGGGGATTATATACAATGAGAATAAAATAAGGCCCAAGATGGAGCCTTGCGGTACCCCACAACTAAGTATGGACGCAGCTGAAGAATACTGACCGAGATGGACAGAGAAACTTTAGCTATTCGATTTGTTGTCATTCTATGTCTCTTTGTGTTTGTTTTGCCGCTTTGTGGTTATTTTGTGTCTTTTTCCAGTTCCTTTGCATCTCTTTGTTGTCTTTTTGTGTCTCTTCCAGTACATGTTCATTTTAGTGATATTTTCCAGTTGAAGGCGACATCACATGTAGACAGCTCTAAATACAGGTGTGATTAAACCCAAAAACCACACATTAATGCTTTATTTAGAGATGCCAGAGAAGCCCCATGAAGTCAGTGTGCATTCAAATGCATGCCCCACCAATGACAAAACAGCAAACCAATCACTTTATTATTTTATGTATTTTTTCCTTTTCTATCATTTTGGCCTTTATTCAACTGGGACAGCAGAGAAATGACAGGAAACGAGGGGAGCCCTGGCTGGATTCAAACCGGGGACATTGCAATTTCATGATCAGCATCTTAAACCCTTAGGCCACCAAGAGGTCCCTGCCTACATTGCAAGCTTTCCAGACACACTTGGGTAGGGGAGATGGGCCTGTGTTAAACAACTCAGACAAGATTTTGGCGTCAGAGGCAAGAGATCAAACAACCACTGCAATCCTACACTCCAGTTTTACAGCCATTACTAACAAAGTACTTTCTCTGCTCAGCAGTGGTCACAGTTTCTCACAGATAACAAAATATGAGCAGGAATCTGATCATAACAGATCATTCATGTAGTGGCAGTCCATCCCAGCTGGATGAGCACACAATAAGACACTGATTTTGGTCTTGAGATAAGTGCAACTGCAGTTTTCTACTTTGTGTGACTCAGTACAGATTTACTTAAAAGGACATTCAGGTAAATAAAACTCAGGCTGAGGCAGAACATAGAATGCTGACTAAAGAATTTAAAAAACACGAACAACCCTCTTCATCACAGGACATAAATATTTATTATTCAGCTGATAAAATGGCACTTTTAAAAGCCTTTGGAGAGGGGTGGGGGTGAGAAGAAGGTTGAGGGTGTTTTCTGATGTGCTAGCAGCCTCTGCTGGCCCTGTACATGTCAGTGCAATCACAATCAAAGTGATGGATATTCACAACAGGTCTACATTTATTCAGTTCACCTTTTTGTAATGCCAAGAAGAGTGAAATGGTGTTTTTGATGTATTGTGTATGGCCTGACAGATATTAAACCAGTATTGTTCTAAATATAAAGGGATAGCTGTCCAAAAACAAAGTGATCATATCAGACCAAGATTAGAACAAATTAGCTGGCTGAGCACTCAACATCCCAGTTTGTCTTTTAGATAAATTATCCATGATACAACATCCTTTGCTACAGCCAAAATATAGGGCAACACTAAGATGAAATTTAGAATGCCCCAAATAGAAACCAGAACCTCTTTAATTCGACAAGAAGAAGAAATTGCACAAGAAATTGCTGCTGACATGTTACAAAATAGCAGCACACATACAGACCTGGATCATTAGTTGCATTCTGTCAACAGACAAGGAAACTACAGTAGATACCAAACTGCTAAAAATACTAATTCAAAGACTTAACACTGTTCCTGTGCAGCAGCACTGGCAATAGCAGATGACAACGCTGACATGTTCAGTTCAGAAACTGACAGAAGTGAAAAGCAAAGTTTGTATGTGTTGAGAGGTATGCACAAACAGCATGCACACAAGTAGGTCAGCACATACCTTAAATAGCTCAGGGTGCACAAATTAACTGTGTATGCAAGAGTTGGGTTGGAGTGGTGAAGCCAACTTTTGATTTGAAAAAAAAATGTTTTTTGAAACTCAAAAAGATGATTATGCAGATCTTAAGACTTCAGGTAAAATTTTAAAGGAAGTTAAGAAACTGTAATGGTTTGATAAATGAGCTTGACTGGGCTAACAAAAATTCCAAACTTAGCTTTTTTAACTTTTCTGACAAAGAAAAAAAGAAAAGAAAAGAACAGACAAAGGCACAGAAAAGATAAAAGAAAAACGATTTACGTCATGTATTTCAGAGATTTTTGTTTTGAAAAACACTCCGGAAGTGCCGATGTTATTGTGACATCCTTGACACTGTCTTCCGGTGCCCATTCCTGTCAAAATGGCTCGTCCACTACCATTTAAAATAGCAGTCGTTGCCACTGTTTTGTTTGTCGTATGCACCAATTTTGTATTTTGTAATAACGGCAGAAGGGTAAGCGTGAAACTGTATTAATTTAACCCAAGTATGTTGCTGTGTGTAAGCGGAAGCTGCACCTGTTAGCTAAGCTATTAGCATTAGCTCTGACCCGGTGAATGCTAACGGTATATTTTCTATTTTTGTTATCAGGTTGGCGACGTCATGGACACTGAATTCGGTGGATTCTCCGTACCTCTTGAACACTCATTTGAAGTTGGTAAGAAAGTGATATTATGTTTTACCAGACGGTAATGCTAAGATGGTAAGCCTAGCTAACGAAGCAACCTTGTGCTGCCAGCGATAACGCCATATCCGAATGGAGAAACATGCTCACCAAACTTCATTCAAAAATCTGCCAGTTTAATATTTTTAGGTGTATCGATAAGTTCATTCTATGTATGTGTATCGATAAGATCTATACAGAATTATCAACGTATTCTATGAAACTCGGCCTAAAGAATAAACCGTACCAACATTGTATTTACATTTTATATACCCTCAGTCATTCAGTCGTGTTGTCTGCTTTGTTCTTACTGTCTGTCCTCCGTCTTGTTTCAGATGATGTAGCAAAGTTTCGAGTGCGTGGAGCACTGATGTTGAAAGCTGGACGGGAGCCCAGCGTCTCACTAAGTCAGAACCAGCTATCAGAGGAGGACAGAACCAAACTTAAGGTGAGATGTGGCACCTTTAAAGGATGTGGAAGTACAAGTACTGCAGTTGTGTCCAAAATGGAGATTGACAAATTCACACACTGATACTCATAATTACTTGATTTATATAGCACCTTTCAAAATAGTTACTAAGTGCTTTGCAATAAAAGCAATAACAAATCTGAGCGGAGTTTGCATGTTCTCCCTGAGTCAGCGTGGGTTTTCTCTGGGTCCTCCCAACATTAGGTTAATTGGTGACTAGATGAGTGTGAATAATTGTCTGTCTCCATGTGTCAGCCCTGCGATAGTCTGGCGACCTGTCCAGGGTGTACCCTGCCTCTCGCCCAATGTCAGCTGGGATGGGCTCCAGCTCCTCAAGAGGATAAGCAGTTATGGGAAATTAATGAATGAAATCCAAAAAAACATGTAAGAGACAGAAAACAGTTCAAAATATTATAAAAATGTACAATATAAAACATAATTTAAGATAAGGTCAAAAGAAGTGAGTTTTTGAGGGGACACTTAAAAGAGGTCACTGAGTTTGTCTGCCTGAGGTCTTCAAGCAGGGTGTTCCACAGCTGAGGGGCTCAGACAGCAAAAGCTTGGTCACCTTTAGTGACAAGTCAAGATTTTTGGACCATTAGTAGAGTCTTGTGGGATAATCTCAGGTTTGCAAACAGGCTCATAGGGAATTAACAGATCACCAATACAGGCAGGAGTCTGATCACTCAAGCCTTTAAAAACAAGCAGCAAATCTTATAACCAATTCTAAAAGGTAGCCAGTGAAGGCCAGCAAGGACTGGTGTGATGTTGTCGCCTCTCTCAGTGTGAGTTAAAAACCCGGAAGCAGCATTTTGTATGAGTTGGAGTCTTTGGATGTTTCGCCTGCTGATGCCAGATTAAAGTGCACCATAATAATCAAGTCAGGAGGGGATAAAAGTATGAATCATCTTTTCTTTCTGCAGAGGAAAGAAATGACCTGATTTTTGTTAAATGTAATGTCATGATTCCTCCTTTCTCAACAACTATATAAGCTCCTTTTCAGTTTTATTCATGGACAACCACAGAGCAAAAGGCTGTGATAAAAAGTTTATTACAAAAATGTAATGGGCATTGATAAGCAAATTAAAGTAATAGACATAAAATCCTCGGTCAGTGTGACCAACATGGTGTGATATGAACCTGCATCTCTAACGTCTACGTTTGTTTTGAACATCAGGAAGTGGCAGCAGTGGACGGTCTATACAGAATCAGGGTGCCCCGTGTTTTCCTGCAGGCAGACAGACAGACAGAGCGACAGATGGAGGGTTACCTCACAGCATTTGTCAGAGCGGTATGTATTTCACTTCATCTTCAGCAGGAAATCATCTTTACAACAAGACCAAAGTAATATTGGTCATTAAGACTGTATCAGAGAAGTAAGATAATTACTATAGAAAGAGTTAAGTGAGTGTTTGTGAAGTCTATCTGCCCTGTGTATGATATGTTCCATTCATGGGACTAATTAAACAGTTTAATTCAGACTGATGGAGGGTCCTGGGCTGCCTTGGCCTGTTAAATCAAGAAAAAGAAAGTTCAGCCTGTAAACATGCAGGCTGGTTTAACAGTTGTTTCACATCTTTGTGGGTATGTTTTGATTTCATTTGTAGTTTCCTGAATGTTGTATATTTGTATTTTGACTTGAAAATATTGTTTGATTAATATTGAATCAGCTGTGTTTGCGTGATAGTGTTGTTTGTTATTTTTAAATTTCTCATTGCCTTGATTTAAAATTGCATTCAATCAGGAGTGCCATTATAAGTTACTTGTTTGTAAAGATCAATGTATTTTAGCTGACTGGATCTGCTACATTTTTCACATACGAAAGAGGTATTTTAGGTCAACCTTTTGCCTCTAGATATACACCAATCTGCCACAACATTAATACCAATGACATGTCTTGTGTCTTGGCATTCATGTGAATGCCATGTGACACGAATTACCCACCCAAACACCATTGCAGACCAAGTACACCCCCTTGTGGCAACAGCACTCCCTGAAGGCATTGACCCCCCCCAGCAGACCCCCACATGTGCCATGCCATAGAACAACTGTTCAGGAATGGCAAAAAGCTTGAGGCAGCGACCTGGCCTCCAAATTTCAGATTTCAATCTGATGAAGCATCTGTGGGACGTGCCAGAACTCAAAACGTCCAGTGGTCCTGCCCCGACAGGTCAAAGCCAAGTCTGATCAACTGTGGGGCCTCTGACTTGTCGAGGCATGGACATAGGACTTCTCAGGGTTTCCTGTGGTGTCTGGCATCTAGGCATTGGCAGCAAATCCTTTGAGTCCTATGGATTGTGAGGTGAGGTACTGTCACGTCCCATTGATGCTCATTTAAATTGGGTTTTGAGAAATATGGAGGCCAGTTTGACACCTTGAACTTTTTATCAAGATAGTCAGGCCATTTCTGAGCAGTTTCTGAGGTGTGGCATGGCGCGCTGTCCTGCTGGAGGCCAGCTGTCATGGGTGGGTGATGCACATCGAGTGGTATCCACATAAATGCCAGGACCCAAGGTTTCCCAGCATAACGTAACTGTAATGAGATGATCAATGTTATTCGCTTCATCTGTCGGTGGTTTTAATGTCGTGGTTGACTGGTGGACACGGGTCATAGCAGGGACATGGTATGGTTGATGTGAAAGCCTCTGACGAATAGTTTTTGACTGAACCGACAGCTTTATGGTTTGGTGAGATTATGTTCCTCTGTAATCTACAGCCAGCCTGTTTTTTTTTTTTTGATGTTTTTTTTTTGTATGTTTGTATCTTTGTTTTTGTCGCCTTTTCTCATTTTCTTAGCATTTTGATTAGAATTTATATCAGGCATGTGTAGCTAGAAAACTAGATCCTTTCAGAGTTGTGTAAAATCTAAAATATCTAACCAGTTAGTTCAGATTAAAGGCTCTCCAAAATTATAATAAGTATTCATATAACAGATTAAACAGCATCATATCCATCATGTTACGTAAATGTGGGGTGATACTAACCAGCTAATATTGGTGTAACTCTGACATGAACATTTATTCTGCTTTGATCCTCAGTGTGCCATGGTTGAGTCCCATCTCAGCGACGTCATCTCCCTCCACACTGACGTCTCTGGGTACCTCATCGGTGTCTCCATAGTGACAATACCTGGAGCCTGCAGGGGCACAGAGGTAGAGGATGAAGTTGATCTCGAGGTTTTCAACACCACACTCAGCATCATGGCTCCTGTCAATGCACCAGGGTCAGTCCTAAAATATTCATTTTTCCTGCTGCTTTTCAGTCTTTCATTTAGGTCTTTCTCTTTCCGATCTCTTGATAGAGCTTGACTGCTTATGGTATCAGATTGCTAGCATCCATATCTGTAGCTGTCTGTACATTAGTGAAATCCTCTTGGGTAGCTTTTTCAGATCCCTTTGATTCAGTTCTATTTGCCTTGGCATAGCAGCTTTACATCTTTTCCCCATAGGTAGAACAAGTCTCTTTGCACTCTTCTGTCTTTCAGATAACACTTTCTGTTTTGGGGTTTGTTTGAATACTAATTGTCAACTTTCTTCCAGACCTGAGACAGCTCTGTTCCTCGAACGAATGGAACAGGAATCTGAGAAGAAAGGGAAGAATCCACAAGAGCAGAAATCTTTCTTTGCTAAATATGTAAGTATTCATACTGAAAACTGCTGATAAGGCCAGCAGGCTGTGCCTAAAGATATATTCTCTGCCTCCAGTAATTGGGCTCTGATGGCTGTAATGGCCCATTTAGTTAATGGATACATGAAAATGCTTATTAAGCTCATCATTTATTTTGCCCCATCAGACCCACCTTAACTTTTTTCTAAGCATGCAGCATGTGTTAAAATCAGTGACTATATATAAAGATGGATGACACGTCTCCACTTCCTCACACTGTACAAAAAATGAAGCCAAACTATCTGCTGCCATCTTGGAGCCAGAGTTTGCCCAGTTCCCGTCTCTGCGGTATCAACTTCTCGCCATCCAACCAGTCATGAGCAGAGCCACTGATCATGAGCACACCAATTGGTACACACAGCTGTCAATCAGGACGTCAAACTCTGTTTTATATTAACAAATATCTAATTAAAAGCAAATTTATCAGGAAAATTAACATATGAACATAAAGCAACGTGATAAGAAGAAACTTTATCCGACATGTACTTAAATATTTTAGTTTGGATCATGTCCCATCTGCTATGGTGTAGGGGGCAGGGCTTATGACTTTCAGTGCAGCCAGCCACCAGGGGGCGATTGAGATTTTTTGGCTTCATTTTGCGGAGCTGTTGTTGTTGTCCATTATTATTATACAGTCTATGGTTAAACAATACTATACAGGGTGCATCAGTACTACACTGCAAGAGATCTTGTTTCTTCTATTTCATCTGTGGCTGTAAAGTGAGAATGTCTCCTAAAAAGTCAAAATGGCTTCATGTGTTTGGTTTGTTCTCCCCTTTGCTACTTCCTGGTGCATCAGGGGAAAATCGCTGCACTTATGTGTATATTAGGCTTGTAACTATCCATAAAATTCATGGTTAAGTTCAATAAGACACTGTGGTGTCATGGTTCGGTACGTTTTCGATTGCCAAAGAAATTTACTTGATTTTTAACATTTCTGATAAATTAAAAGCAATCTGGGAATGACCACATTGTAACGAGCTAGTTTAGCGTAGCATTCCTCCCAGGTGTCTCACTGGAGTAATGTTTTGGTTTAGGGGTGGAAGGGGCAGACGGCACGTTTCCTGTTCTGTCATACGAGCTGCCTTTTTGAGTGCAGTGGCACTGAGAACGTTATATTTAATACAATTTAAACTGTATATTTTATTTTCCAAATGTAATAAGATAGTCCAACGTATCATTTGGTTTGTTATGTGTACCAAATGGAGAGCCTCGTAGCAAACAGTTCAATACAAATGCGTATATTGTTACACCCCTTGTGCATATGTGTTAACATAGTTACAAAATGATCTTGCAGGAACAATGCTAAATGTTACTAATACAGATCAGAAAATTAAATCCACTTTATGTAAAATGGTCTATCTATTCTCACACAGTCCTGTGATTGAACTGTTTTTTGCCTTAACACCATAAATGAACCACACCAGAGTCAATTTGGAAATGACCCAGCTTTATAGGTGGTCCTCCTGGGCCCTAAAAAGTGGGGTCGGCACCAGAGTTTGTTTGACAGCTTCCACACCATCTCGAGCCCAGAGTTTGTTTTGACTGAACCAGACAGATAGTGTGAAAGCACCCCATGTCATAGTCTGACACCCACTTCTGAACTGCCATGTCGTTACAGTCATCCAACATTAATGTGCCCACAAAGTTCAACTGTTAATGTTTGTGACATGAAAATATGTCCTCTTCTAAAAGCAGCAGAGAGATTTTGTTTGTCTTCTGACATTTTGAGCTGTCAGTCGGAGTAAGCTCCATGTTTTGAAACATCCCCACAGAGAGCCTCGGCTTGTTGTCCTGTCGCTTGGCTCTTTATGATCTCTGTGCTGTGTATATATCTTGCTGTGTTCAGTGACCTGTGTTGACTCTGTGCTGTGCTGTATCCAGTGACAGTGGTGTGTTGACTTGGTGCTGTGCTGTGTTGCAGTGGTATTTGATTCTTGGAGGTGCAATCTTCCTCATGGTCACCAATTCAGCACAGCCCCCAGCAGGGGGCGGCAGAGAGCAGAGCTGATTCCCGCTGAAGTACTGTTCTCTTAATTGTGGCTTGTTCTGTCCTCCTTCCTCTTCTGTCAACTTTAACTTTAACCTATAAGCAACATGACTAACTGAAATCCACCTCCTTTTTCCAACTTATTCTCCCTTTTTTTCTCTTTGATGTTTTTTCCAGGTTCAATGCCAAACACATTTAAGAATGGTCAATGCAAAGCTCCAATTTTCATAACTCAAAGTACTTTGTATGAGGAGGCCTCGATGCAAAACCATGAAGAAATCCTAAATCTTAATTGTCAGTGTGAATATGTTGAGGATGTGTTTGGTGTTGACCCTGAGATTCCTTCACTATTCTTCACCCTCTCACCCAGTTTTAACTTTTCTTCTCCTCTGTTCAGAAAATAAATAGAACCTAATCTGGGATGACCAATCTGGGACTGTTGATAAGATCTCTGTGATCACAGTTTAAATTTGTCGTCTTTAAAACGAATACTGTATTTACTTCTATTTCTTGTCGTCTCCAGTGGATGTACATCGTGCCTCTCGTCCTCTTCCTGATGATGTCTGGTGCTCAGGACCAATCAGGTGGGGGAGCCGGGGGCGGAGCAGCCAATGGAGGTGGCCGATGATCAACACGCAACAGCTTCTCCTTTTTCCTTTGGTTGTTATTTTGGGGGGGGGTGAACATTTTCTGATTCTCTTGAACAGTTTTTAATTGCTGTACATAATGCTATTTAAATGGGATAAATGTTCGTCACACACACACACACACAACTTGTACTTGTACAGCATAGAGGAGATATTGTGCCCTGCAGATGACTGCATTTTTAGTGAAAATAAAGTATTATTACTTGACCTGCCTTTTTTGTGTCATTCAGACTGAAGAGGTTCAGACTCATAGTTCTCAGATACAGGTCCTGTTTTACTGAAAGGCTCAGATTTAGTTGTAACACCAGTACAGTAATATAAAACTCTAAACCCAATATACATACAGTAGACAGTAGATCTGTATATAGATACATTTATTGCACAAGGTTTAAAATCTACATGACAGGCTGATCATAATGACAAGAGTCTATAAAAGACAATTCAAATGCACTAAAAGGCCTTAGAGCTTATTTCTATTGTGGTCCTCTATGATAGTCAAAAAGATCCGATAAGAGAAAATATTTGTGCGATTCCTACAAATTGTAAAATAGTGATTAATCATGGTATTACAAAACAACAATAGAAGATTGTAGTGTTACATAGGATACAGCATTTTCTGTCTTAATACCCATGCTTTTTCAATGAATCTGGCTAAGACATGACTCCCCTCCTTGAGGAATCAACTCAACGTATCACACTCAGACATCCAAAATAAGTTGGGGTTCTTCACTTGACCTTTTTCAAACAAATGCTTTCTCAGGTCACTGTGCAAAGGGCATTGAAACAGAGAATGAAATTCATCTTCAACAGCTTCAAGATCACACAAAATACATAAATACTGCTCTCCAGGGATACCTTTATACCTGCCAGGCCCAGAAAGAGAAAACACTGCAGAGACCTCTCTTGACCAGGGGTAATTGTGTGCTCGATACAATAAATACTACTGATGGCAAACAAACGAGATGAACTTTTATTTTAAGATGCTCTAAATTAATTCTAGTTAAAAAATGGCTTCCTGTCTGGTTTCCCTCACTGATGGGGAAACCAGAACCACTTCATTGTCAGTTTGCCACGTTTGACCTGGAAAGCCTCCATTCAGCTGTTTAATCCTTTTTAATACAGCTGGGGATTTACCCTGTTGGGATAAAAGCAGCTGCTGCTGTCCCCCAACAAGTGTCGAGCGTTGTGGCAGTCAGCTTTCGGTAAATACTGTTCATATAAACAGAAAAGACAGCACAGAAATATTCTTCTAATGTTCCTCAAAATACTTATAATTTATATAGACTGTTTCTAGTTTCCTGTTCTTAGGCACCGTTGTCTCTTCATCCTTCTTTTGCTCAGCATCTTCTGATGGTTTTGGAATTCCGGAGGTTGTATGGATTTTTCAAGTAGGGTTTGCTCACAGAATCAGACCAGAATTTTTACTTGATTTATACATTCATTTTTTAAATACCTTTATTTGATTTTGTGTTTCAAAATGACATCTAAACATAGACATTTTTTACTGGAAAAAAATTTTTCCAAGTGAGAAATCACACAGAACCTCACCATCTGTTTGTAACTGGCTCGCTGTCTGCAATTTCCTCAGCAAAGAAAAAGCCCCCTGCATGTTTTTAACACAGACATTAATATAGACTATCATTCAAAAGTTTCAAATCAGCTGTTATATTGGTGACTCTATTTTTTTCTGATGTCTACTTTAACAGAGATTAAAAAACAGTATAATTCAGACGCCAAATGTATTATTTACATTTAAGATAGTTAACCTTTGATTTTTGATTTCTTTTCCAGTCCAGAAAAGCATAAGTGATCCTCTATCATTATCAAACCACAATGGTACAGTTAGGCTCTAAATATTTTAATATTTCTTGGACCTTGTGCAGTTTACTCAGTCATTAGATTAAACAGGTCTAAACTGTGATTGTCAGTCTATAGTATGTTTAGCTGATACTCTCTGATCCAGATCCAACAGTGCTAAACCTAGACTAACCTTCTGTCTCTATTTTGAAGTTTGAAGAACAGCTTTTCAGCTTGTTACAGCCATTATCATGCACACTCGTCCGGTTTGTTTTACCAATGTAAAACAAAAACAATCTGAAAAAGTTGTGATCCAGCATTGTGCCTTAACCTGAAGAATAATAATAGCATTTAAGCCTCATACCTTTAAGATGGGAGCTGATGTGTACGTTGGTGATTTAAATACAAGGTCAAAGGCAAACACGAAATATTGAAAGCTACTTGGATACATGGAAGACAGAATGCAGCTCAACATCTAACAGACAGTCGAGTCCAAACTAAAGGGCGACCACCCGTCTGCCTCAGATCCTGACTACAGCCATTTTTGGGGAGCCAATGTGAACATGTCTTCGCTCTTGCCACCTATCTGTGTATTTATAATCATGAGTCAGGACGAGAGATCACAGATTCAAAACAGTACGGCTCTAGAAACAGAATGTCCCAAAATCCCTGTGTCAACATTGCCTATCCTCTTCCTTATGTCAGTCTGTCTGGCTGTTTTTAGTACCCCCTGTCAAACTGTGAGGAATATCCTCTTATTTTAGGAGGCTCAGCACTGAGCTTCAACACTTCAGTGGCCTCTGGCCCCGTCCAATCACCAGCCAGGCCTTTCTCAGAATGACCCACTGAGTCAAACGGGTGCACCACCCTGCTCTGTGCCTGCTTTTCAGTCGCCTCCTCTTGCTGTCTCGCTGTACTGCCCGAGGAATAAGGTGATAACAACAGCTGTGGGAAACAGGAGAGTTGGGATGAAGCGAGCCGGATGGCAAAAGTCATCAGTTTGTAAAAAGATCTGCTTCTGTCAGGTGGGGGTAGAGGTTAGATGGAGAAAGAAGCTGTTGATCGCTCTGTGTGTTAACATGTGATATCATTAGTAACACAAGGTTTCGAAACGTTTCCACCAAACAAACCAGCTTCTTATTCCATTTTAAAGACTCAACAATCTCAGCTATTTTGCCCTCAGCAGAAACCATGATGAATTATGGGATGACTATCAGCATGGACCGTGATGTATGCTCATCTGCCAGGAAGCTGGTGGACGCTGACACTGAGACACATGGTTGTGGAGATGTTTATGAATTTTATCACGTGTGTTTGCATTTACACTGAGGCCACACATGTTGCTTTCAACAACACACTACAGGCTAAAACGATCATACACCAGTTATACACAAGTTAAGGCCGGGTAAATGGACCTAATAATAAATCACAGTAAGACATGCAATTGGATTCAAAAATCTATTTTTACCAGTTACATTTTTTGGAAATATTAGAAGGTGCTGGAGGCAAAGATGTAACATAGAGACTCGGCTAGGGTTTTCGTACATTCTAATGGATAAGATATCTGTTTTCAAAAAATGTGGATGGTAGCAGTGATTGGTCAGCTGTGCAAAGGCAAGAAATTTAATTTGAACTTCTCTCTCTAGCTCTCTTTTTTATTCTGAACGCAACTATTTCTGTCACTTTGAACAACTGAGTGCAACACTGTGAATGCTTTCCAGATACGACTGTCCCTACACGTGCGCCGTTAGTCCCCTATTTTAGACACGTATTGTATCTTGCCCCTCACTATAGTTGCCGGCTTCTCACCCCCTGCGAGAGTGGCTGTAGAAACACTAGGAAATAGTTCATATTGAACATAATCCCAATTTAAAGGAACAGTTCACTCCCATATCAAAAATAGATATTTTTCCTTTTACCTTTAGTGCTATTTATCAGTCTTAATTGTTTTGGTGAGTTGCCGAGTGTTGGAGATATCAGCCGTGAGATGTCTGCCTTCTCTTGAATATAATGATAGCACTCAGCTTATGGTGCTCAATCCACCAAAAAATACATTTGTAAAACTCAACAGTGATGTGTCTTTCCAGAAATCATGACCTGATAACTTAAGATAATCCACAGATCTTGTTGTGAGCAGTTTCATATAGGAACTATGTTTTTCTCTACCGACCTGTGCATCTACTCATTGATGAGAGGCTCGTGCTTGTGACAGCATAAGATATAAATATTAATGCCATCTTCCTCGGCTGAGCTGTGATGTTAGCTAGCTTAGTGGTGCTTGGTGAGTTAGCAGTAGATGCATGCTTTTGCGCCATGATTTCTTTAAAGAGAAACAGCTGATAAGTTCTTCAACAGAGAGAAGGCAGACATCTCTATCACTGATATCTCCAACGCTCAGCAGCTCACACCAAAACAATCTAGACTGATAAATAGCACTACAGGTAGGAGGAAACTCTTAAGAACATTATAGCCACTAAATGTTCCACACTCTTCATCACTCTGCAGAGATGGCTGTTGGTTCTCAGTGGATTCAGTACTACTGAACTAACTGCAATGAAAAACTATATTCAGTGGAGCTTTCATCTCCCTTTGCTCTTCACTCTAGTTACGTACCATTGGTAGATACACCAACATCTTAGAGCTCACCTCCTCTCGTGTCATAAGGAAGGCAGAACATGTGATATGAAATGCACTAGAGGCCAGCAGAGGCTGTAAATCATTTCAAACATTATGTAAATAAATTTAAATGATTTATTGATCATACCTAAATCTTTAAACCTGTTAACAGTCAATTGAAAAGATATCCAAGTGCTCATGTGGTTTTAATAACACTGAGAGAGGTAAAATACTGAAAGAAAACATGATGGCAGAGAATAAGAGAGTGGGAGGAGCTGAGGTTGAGGAGAAGAGGGGAGATTGCACCCATTGAACAGGCTGCCACCAACATAGCAGCAGTTACTCATAAATCTCATGGCTCTCCGTCGCCTGGAGACCACCAATGTCAGCATGACACCATGTGATAGGCAGGACATTCCCCCCCTAACAACATGTAGTGATTTAGGAGCAGTTACAAGGTTTATGTTGCACTAATGCTGTAGGGGCCCGGTTGATTTTGGCCTGTCGTTATCACACTGTAAATCTGGACACTTTAACTATGCATGTGTTATTAAAGATGATCTGTCACTAAAAATCTGCCCTCATGTCATTTGCTATATGAGATTGTCCAAATGACGAATGTTGCTTCTGCTGTGGTTTCATTTGGAGAGAAATGATTAATGGTAGAAAGTGGCCCACATGTGCTGCACTGTACAATTTGAGGTACTTTCCTCTACTTTAGTATATCCATTTCATCTTTGTATTAATACAACACAGTTTAGAGGCAAATATATCTTACTTTGTACTTTTTTAAT